CTTTAACTCCTGAGCTCAAACAATCTGCCCGCCTTGGCCTCCCAGAGTGCTAGGATTACAGGCATGAGCCACTGTGCCCGGCCTCTTGATACTATTAAACCCTAAAGAAGTTCTATAATGTCACAGACCCTCAGTTTCCTCACTCATAATAAAGGGGGACAATATCTTTCTTACAAGGCTGTGGACAGATTTAAGTTAGACAAATTAAGTAAAGCATAAAACTACATAAATGTTGGTTTCTCTCTCTTTATTTAATAAACAGGTGGTCTGGATGCAGGTAATCAGCATTCCTGTAAAATCCCCTCCTACTATGTTCTCCCAACTGCTCTGAGTGACTTTTACTTACCTTCTGTCAAAATCTGTTTCAAGAAAGACTGTTTGAAAAAACTCCAAGTCAATTTAGCCTCTTTCCAGTTTACAAAAGCCTACAAGAGAAAACAAAATAAAACAAAACAAAAATCCCCAGGCATTTCAAGTCTAAGAATACAATGCTACGTGAGAGGCAAACTCATTCTGGTCCCTAAATCCAAATTTGGATAGTCCCGCTGAATCCTCATTTAATATTAAGCACACAGAATGCATCACACACATACTGGAAAGAACATACATGACTAAACATGAAGACAAAGTCCATAGGGGACCTCCCCAGGACTCATACACTGAGACCCCTAAAGAATTGCTGCTGCCCCTTTGGAGGCCCACGCAGTACACTGACCACATCTAATACAGCTTGCAGTCAGTTCTTCCCTTAAAAACTGTCTAAAGCATGCCAAGCTGCAAAACAAATTCTGTTCCATATACCCCACATTGTAACGTCATGCTCAGTCATCAGGGCTATTTATTACATAAAGTACAGGGACTGTGCTTGTGTATTTCAAAAGAAATTTAGCCTTCCAAGGTTAGGTAAACCACTCAGAATCAGTACAACAGAGGAAAGGAAAAAATAATACTTCTGATATGACTCTACTAAAACTCCCAGGGGGCATAAAACTTCCCATTTTCTAAGGACAAGCAAACAGGGCAGAAGTCAACCCATATGAGACAGGTGGCCTCAAAGCCAAAAAGCTGACCACAAGATGCAGGAATGACGCAGCCAAGGGGATACAGCATCCTCCAACTCCTATTTTCCTACCTCAAAGTTCTCTCTAGAGTCCCCTCCTCTATCTTGTAGGCATCCAGGATCCCAGAATGTCCAGTGTAGTAGGGGTGAAGCTCTTAATCCTAGGGTACTTGCATTTCAAAAAGCTGTGATTATCCAAAGTGATGACTTTTGAATGGTGGGATTTCAGGGGGCTCCCTTTGGGAGGGGAGGGGTGAATCACCAAGGCCAAGCCCCCTCCACCTCTCCAAAAGGTTGGCCTCAGCTGTGGAAGTTGGCTCAGGGCAGGTCTGGAACCTGCCCTGGTCACATGGGCCCCTACTCTTGGCAAAGCCCATTCAATGCTATCCAGTAGAAATGTAATGTTAAAATTTCTAGCAGCCACAGAGAATAGGAAAAATAAACAGATGAAATTAACTTTAGTATATTTCATTAACTCAAAATATTAGCATTTTAACATGTAATCTACATAAAAAAGTATTTTTTTTCATATTAAGTCTTTGAAATTCAGTATATATTTGCATTTATAGCTCATCTCAATTCAGACTAGCCACATTCCAAAATGCACTATAGCCACATGTGGCTGGTGGCTACCACGTAAGACAGGGCAAGGCTAGAGCACCTCTGAAAGCAAGGATCATTTCTAGCCCCCATTCTCCTTACCCCTTGGTTTCTGAACCTTTCTTCCAGACATTGGGAGGACAGGCCTGAATCTTCCCAATCTGTGCTGCCTTCAGGGTATCACTGAACCTGCAACAGATGCCAGGGTGGCTCTAGCCCAGGAATAAATCTTCCCCAATAAAAAGGAAATTGGGCCACAAGATGTTTAAAACAGGCCATCTCACGTCCCTAGAACAAAGAGCACCAGATGACTTCCCACCACTAGGGGGCACTGTGGACCACATCATCTTCAGGTGCTGCTTCTGGCCAGCGTAGCTTCGGTGGAGATGTGGGCACAGCACCTTCTCTCTCCCATACTCTCCCCACCCCTATGCTACGACGGTCCTCTGAGGGGTCTGTGAAGCAGTACCTGTGCTCTGTTCGAAGGAAATGAAAAGTTACAGCTTGCCCACGAGGCTCTTGCGAGGACTACCTACCGGTAGGTTGTGAATGGATTTGCAAAGATGATGGAGCTCTTCGAAGAAAAAGTTCTTTAGGAGAGTGAAATCATTGACAGTGCATCTAATCTGAAAGCTCCTACTTGTGCATTCCTTTCTCCTAAAGCCTTCAGTTTAAATGGGCCTGTGGTTCAGAAGGAACGGCCGCACTGCTTACTAAAGTGCTCATTAGGACACAGAGGCAGGAAGTCCAATCTGAGACTGGGGTTCCCCTGAGAGGCGCCTGCTAAATGGTAGAAAGGAGGAAGCATATTCTGTAGACTTTTACCATTCTATGCAGAATGGATGCTCACAATGGATTTGTCACTTGGGATGTTCAAAAGAGGCCTATTTCACAAGAGCTAGGTTGGTACTGCTGAGCTGGTTTAAACGGCTGTGAATTCTCTGGAATCCCCTAACAAGCCATTCCACTGCCTCACTGTAGTGATGGAGAAACTGAGGCTTGCATGGTCAGAGATGATGGGCAGTAACTCCATGGAAGTTCTGGAATCAGAACTCAGAGGCTCATCACGCTTTCACCTGAGTCACTCGTCCACTTCCCAAACTCTTCTGACTCAGGATGATCCAGTCAGCCACATCCTTACCGCAGTGACAAGAGTCACTAGGGTGCATGAGGCCATGGTCCTGTCCCCTGCCCTCCATGACCTCCACCACCTCACACAGCACTCGTCCTCTCCCCACCACTCTCAGTTGCTCCAGGGTGATCGACTCTGCTCAGCTTTGTCCGTCCTCCCACATCTATCCGCCCTCTCCCTGTCCTCATCACTTCTCAGCTGGACAATTGCCACAGCCTCCCACCGAGTTTTTTGCTTCCAACTTTTTCTCTAGCTCATCCTTCTCATTGTAGGTTTGGGTTTTGGAGTCAAGCTTGGAGATAGGGACTCAAACTGCACTTATCTGTGCAAAGGCCATTGGGAAAATACTTAACTTTGCTAAGCCTTGGTTTTCTCATCTGCAAAATGGGATAAGAAGTCCTATCTCAGGCCGAGTGCGGTGGCTCACGCCTGTAATCCTAGCACTCTGGGAGGCCGAGGCGGGCGGATTGTTTGAGCTCAGGAGTTCGAGACCAGCCTGAGCAAGAGC